CAGACAGGCAGGTGGTCAGCACTGGGGCGCATAGGTGCTGGTTTGGTTCATCCACCCAGTGTTGCCCAGAGACCAGAGGCACCAAGTGTACCCTCCATTAGATGACTGGCTTCCCAGGCTTCTGTCCCATCAGGCACCCAGGGAAAGGTGGACAAGCTGCAGCACATCTCAGCTCTCATTTTGGCCCAGCACTCTCCAAAGAAGTAAACTTCAATCAGCTTAGACCATCCCCTCCCAAAACTGACCCAGGAGGAAACTTCACCTGAACTGGGATCTGATTGGTATATCTCTAGTCCCAGCACCAAACCAGGGGGTCCTGGGACCCCTTCGGTGACATGGTCAGCACTTATGGAGGGCAGGATGCTAGGCATCTTCTCCTGTTTTCACCAGGGCACATGGTCTAGTTTTGTGGGGAGCAGAGCCATTTCTTTTTCCAGTTACAGGAGGAGTCTTGTGGGTTTCATTGCTGATTTATTCCAGGGATACCTTAGGGTTTAAGATGCCCAGAGCTCAAAGTCAGCCTGTGGGCACCAGCAGGGCCTTGTCTGCAGCAGACACCTCTTCTGATTGGTTGGTGCATGTTCTATTTGGTCTGAAGTGTGTTCTGATTGGTTGTGAACCTGTTCTGGTTGGTTGATGTCTGTTCTGATTGGCTGGTGTCTTTGCTTTACAATCTGGGACAAATGTAGATGTGATTGCATCACCAGTGGCCCCTCCTGACCCCTGACCTGTTGGTCCAGCCCCGAAGTGAGCACCGTTGATGATTCTAGTGTGCTGGGTGATGGTGAACGTGTTATGTGGCACCGGGAGGTCTTGGCCGGGGTTGATGTGGGCAGTGGCTGTGTTGTGGGTGTCCTTATGGTCACCTGTGTCTGTTGCTGTAACTTACGTCACAGAGGTTCCTGCAAGAATGAAGAGTTGATAATCTCAACAGCTCACAGTCAGCAAAACCTAAAATTAAGTGTGTTCCCTTTGTAGTCTCCTCACACTGCAGACGATAAAACTGCATCAAGTGATGTAAGTTCTCATTCAAATAATTCACCAAGAATTATAATAATTTCCACATGATTTGTTTATTTTTTTCAGAAATCTTTAGGGCATCCTTTGACTTGCCTGTCACTGTAGGAACCTGTCCCCCATTAACATGATATTTCAGGGGCTGAAACACTCTCAGATGCAAAAGGGGCGGGTGATGCTCTGTATCCTGTCTTCCCACCTGTCCCACTGCTCCTAGGCCCCTTCTGTCCGTCTTTCTCTCCTCCCATTGTCAGGGGGCATCCTGTCTGGAAACTGGCCCCACAGGAGCTGGGTCCAGGGAAAGCCCATCCCGTAAGAACCAGCTTTCTGAGTTTCTCTCACGTCCTAGGAGCCGGGGAGTCAGAGCAGCATTTCTTCCAACCGCGGCAGAATCCCTGCAGGTTCTGCTCCAGGGTTCATGGGAGGGCCTACAGGGCAGAGTCTGGGGCTGAAGACAAGTCTACCCTCTTGTGCTCTGCCCCATCTGTGGAGGGCACGTTGCTGTTCTGAGTTCTTGGCCGACTGTCTTGGTGATAGACCCCTCATCTGCTCAGGTACGGTCCACAAGCTGGCAGTGTACTTACCAGGGTGCAGGTGAGCAGAGCAGAAGCAGGTGGGGCTGTGAGAGCTGTGGGGGCCGCTGGGCCCCATCCAGGGTAGTCACAGCCTCAGTGGAGGTGCTGGGAAACCAGCAGGTGGAGCTGGATGGCCTTGCAGGCCTGATGGGTGTCCTGGGGACAGGACAGAGGCCTTGCTGAATACAGCATGTGGCAGAGTGCACACTTCTCTGAGCCTCCTCTTCAAAACAAGGACTGTGGCTGCCAGCAGCTGGCAGTGGGTGGGGCAGTGACCTGAGATGGTATGAGAAGCTGAAATGCCTTTTTGTGGGCTAGCTTTGGGAGTTGCACACATCATTTCCACAACACAGGTCATCCCGGTTCTACAAGGGCGGGGACCACACAGGGAGTAGGTCACAGGAGATGGATTTTGCACCATCTTGGAGGCTGGCACCCTGCTAGGAATGAGGTTTTTGGCTGGAGGGCAGGAAAGGGAGCAGACCTTGAAATGCTCAGCCTTCCAGGGGGGTTCCAGGTCAGGTCTGGTGGGAAATGGAGGTGAGAATCTCCCCTACCATGTCTTTCAGTGGAAATAACTTTGCCTATATTGTCCCCAACTCTGTCCCTCCCATGGCCCATGTGCAAAGCCACAGAATATTGAAAGCTTTATGCTGCTTCTCTTCCCGTAGGGAGACGTTAAAACCACAGACACACATTCATTTAAAAAAGCATGAAAGAAAATGGAAAATAATAATGGGTTTTATTATTGAAATCCACATAGTTGATGTAGAGACTTTACAAGCCTGGGACGTGGGTCAGGTGGTCGTGGGGTTTGGGTGCCCCCCTGGTGGCCACACTCCTTTTGGCATCTTCTGGCAACGGGTTGGGATTCAGCCTTCCTGAGCCCGTCTCGGCAGGAGCAGGACTGGGCTAAGCCTAGGACTCCTCAGAAGCGGGGTTGGTGTGTGTGGGGGGGAGTCGTGAGGGAGAGGATGTGATGGGTCCTCAGGGGCATGTCTCCTTGAACAGCGCTGCTCCCGTCTGCATTCAAATGCAGTTCTGGGTCTCAGAGAAGCGTGACCCCTGGGCGGTCAGCGCCCTCACTGGCCCAGTGGCAGGTATGGCATGCTCACCTCTACTCGCTGGTCCACGGGAGCCCTGTGCTCCTGGGGCCTTGGGGACGTGGTGCGGATCTGCTCTACTTAGAGTGTGCCCCGTTGTCCCTTCAGACTTCACTTACTTGTTTTTCCTACAGAACTATTTATTTAAATTGGAGTCTAGTCAGTTTACAATGCTGTGTCAGTGTCTGGTGTACAGCACAGTGCTTCCGTCCTACAGGTACATTGTATCTTCCTTTTCAAATTCTTTTTCATTATAAGTTATAGACTTTGCTTATAAAACGTAACTTTAAAGATAAAATGGTTGAGAATTTCAAGGTGGCACCATGTTGCACTGAAGCACAGGCCCGGGTCCAGGGCAAGTGCGTACAGGAGTGCTGTGTGGTGGGCTTTGTGGACGCTCTGTGCAGGTGGGGCAGAAAGGGGTTCAGAGATTCACGGCTCCCTTGGTTCCTGCAGACGCTGTCTCCAGAGTCTGTTCTCAGCCAGGCTGCCTGCCTGTGTTGAGGGGGTTCTGAGGCTGCTGGGGCTCCGTGGGAGGGCGGTTCACCCCTCCCTTAGTGTCCCTGACCTCACACCTCCTTCTCAGGGCTGCAAGTCTGCAGAGGAGAAAGCAGTGGGGTCTGCCCAGCGTCATGATTTGGCTCCCAGGTCTCTACCCTGTCTCTGTCTTTCCTCGTCCAGCTCTGAACACCTGGAAGACGTGGGCATTGATAGTCATGCAGGGATAGAACAAAGTGCAGGTCTTGCATTCTCAGCCAGTCTCTGTGCCAGATTCTGCCCATGCTGATCCAACTTTTAACATCAAACCAAAAGCTAGAGCTCCCATCCCATTTTATAGATTAAAAGAGAAAAAAAAAAGAGGCACCGAGAAGTTGAGCATCTTGCCCTAGGTCACACAGCTGGTGAGGGCAGAGATGAGAATCGACCCACTGTGGTCTGATCTGGAGTCCACATGCTGTATGCCGTGAGGTGCTGACCTAGAGGGGACAGCGATGAGAGAGTGAGGGAGACCAGATGCCCCAGATTGAGCCAGGCACACACTCATGCACACATGTGCTTGCATACATGCCCACATGCACACGGCTTTCACCTTTGAGGCTGCAGGAGTCGGAGGAAACCAGAGAGGAACCAGGAGAGGCCAAGGGAGGGTGGGGTCTATTAGGAGAAGAGGCCACACTTCCCAAGAGACCAAGGAGTTCCCCAACCTGATGAGTCTGTCTCGAATCCTAGATTACTCTCCCTGGACACAGGAATCAATTGTCCGGTACCCTAATCAGATTGACTTCAGACTTACACCTTTCCAGGGGTTCAGTTCCTGTGGAGACTGGGCTGAGAGTATGAGTTCTCTGTGGCCCTCCTGGACCCCACCGTTTTCAGTGATAAGAAGGGGAATGAGGTACATAGTCTGGGCTTCAGATTTGTGTGGAGACAAAATTTATTAGAACTGGAGACCAAAATACTGTGAAACGTATTGTTATGAACATCTCCAGAACACTTAAGAAGCCCTCCCCTGTTTATCTACCTCATCTCTTGTCACGAAAGTAGAGGATCTATTTAATCAGTAATTTCTGTCCTGAGTGTTAGGGGTCATAGACTTCCTTTGACACCCAGTCAGAGCTGAGGTATGGAGTATGTATGTGTTAATTAATCCTCCTGTGGCTAAGATGTGGTTTATTGGTAATGACTCACTCACCCTCTTTGCAAACATAGGGCTTCTCCCCTGTGTGTGTCCTCTGGTGTTTGGTGAGATGTGACTTCTGTGTAAAGCCTCGTCCACACTCCCTGCAAACATAGGGCTTCTCCCCTGTGTGTGTCCTCTGGTGTGTGGTGAGAGCTGACTTCTGTGTAAAGCCTCGTCCACACTCCCTGCAAACATAGGGCTTCTCCCCTGTGTGTGTCCTCTGGTGTATGGTGAGATGTGACTTCCGTGTAAAGCCTCGTCCACACTCCCTGCAAACATAGGGCTTCTCCCCTGTGTGTGTCCTCTGGTGTATGGTGAGATTTGACTTCCGTGTAAAGCCTCGTCCACACTCCCTGCAAACATAGGGCTTCTCCCCTGTGTGTGTCCTCTGGTGTGTGGTGAGATGTGATGTATCCTTGCAGCCTTGCCCATACTCTCCATAGTTGACTTCTACAGTTCTTGACACTCCTGCCCACGTGAATAATTTGCCTGTGTCTTTTGGATTCACTTTCTGGCCTGTGCTGGGCTCTTCCTCTATCATTCTGTCATGTACCCTGGAGTTCCCCATTTGTCCTTTGTGTGAGTAGGAAAAGGCCCCTGAAATCCTCCTCAGTCTTATCCTTTTCAGAAAAGGTTTGGACCTTTCCTTGGCCTCTTGACCTTCAGGTTTGTCATTCCAGCTGTGTTGGTCAGAATGCTGCTGCTGCTCATTTTGATTGCCTGGGCAGGGATCTTCTGGCTCCAGGTGTCTTCCTGCAGCTGTTCTTGGGAGGATCTGAGAGGGGTGGTTGTGTTTCACATGTTGGCTGAGGAATTTCTGACTGGAGAAGGCCAGAGAGCAGGAGGGACATAGATAGATCTTTGGTTCTGCTGAAAGAGGATGCTTTTGGTCAGTCAGGTGTTTTGTCTCCTGGTGAGGCCTGCCCCACTAATCCTAGCGCATTGACAGCAAACGGTGTCACCCACCAAGTGTTTCTTTAAATCCTGTTTGTCCGTTTACTGTTTTTTCAATTTCACTTCTTAAAATTTTTATATTTATTCTTGTATTATCTATTTTTATTTTGGTAGTGGGGGAGGGGGAGGTAATTAGGTTTATTTATTTTTAGAGGAGCTACTGGGGATTGAACCCAGGACCTTGTGCATGCTAAGCATGCGCTCTGCCACTGAGCTCTGCCCTCCACCCCCACCCATTCCATTTTTATTCACTACATCTTCAGAAATCCAGAAAGCCCGTATTAAGGGCCTTTTCTACATCCAGACTAGGGATCTTCAAGGAGCATCAGAGGCAGCTTCACTCCTTATAGAGATGGAGCTGCAGTGACCTTTCTCCATGTGTAAGTGTCTTTAAAGCTGTATCACATGTGACACAGTGTCCACAGGTATTTTATTCTATTGAGAAGCAGCAACACTCTCGGTGACTTAGGTGGAGTCATCCTGAGTGAACCCCTGTGAGCAGAAAGGGATCTATTAAGCTGGGGGAATTCAGCCTGGAGATCTACACATGTGGGGGGGCAGGACAGCGCCGTGGTTAAACAGCCTGTGAGGAAAGCTGAATTTGAGTCTCCTAATTCACAGAGACATATTTAGCTGAGCACCCCATGTGCCTGGATCTCTCTGAGGAAGAGGAGGCACTCAGATTAGACAGGACAGAGTCACCCAGGTCCCACAGACGGGAGGACTCTGGCTGCTGCTGCCCAGTTAGGTCATGAAGTGCTTCTCTCTGTTTTCCATAAACATAAAAGTATGTCCTTCCTCAGGCCTCACAGCAAGTATTCATATTTGATTTATTTCATTCAGTATTAGTCCATTTAAAAGACCAGAGGAAGTCCGGTGTAAGCCTGACCCTAACCCACCAGCCTGACTCCCACCCATCCTGAGCCGTGTGCTGCCCTCTCTCACCTGACGGGGAACTGATCTCTGAAGGGATTCCCCATTGCATCTCTTTCCAAAAATTAACCAAAGCATTATCTTAGGACACAGATCATGCCACTTCTAGCTGAAACCCACACGACTGTTCCATCTCACTCAGGAGAACCCAGTGCCTAAGCCTGGTAGGCACAAAGGCTTTTGTGTGTCTACTCAGCCTCCTTCCTTCCCTCTGGGTGTCCTTCTGTGACCACCTGAATGGTCTGTCTCCTTTCTGCCCTGAGGCTGGTGCATGGCTGCTCCCTCTGCCTGGAGTCCTTGCCCACAGATGTCATCTCTGGAGAGAGCCCTTCCCGAGCACCCTCTGCCACCCCCGCCTCCCCTCACACTGATCCTGAGGCACTTTTCCTGGACAGGTTTTCCTCAGAGCACTAACCCATGTCTGGCGCTATACAGACATACTCCCCTCCCCTCCACTGCCCAAGAACAGTGGTTCTGACTGCCCTGTTCAATCTCTGTTTCCAGTGCCTGGAGCCGTGTCTGGCACAGAGTATGAGCTCACATGGCAACTGAGTAAAATAATGAGTGAATGCAAATCAATGGACACGTGTCACTTAGAAATACAGAGGAAGTGAAGAAACAGCTAAGGGTGAGAGAGCTGTTCGTGCTCGAAAACTTGTTCTTGGCTCTGAGTCTTTCCACACTATGTGATGTTATATATTTCTTGCATGAAATGTTAAAAAAAATTAGAAGAAAAAAATTAAATATAAATATTTCCCCTAAGAGTCAAAGACATATAAGATAAGTCAATTTCTGAAGCATCTTAATTGAAATTTTCCCTTCTTCAGACTGGATTTTACTCTACTTAGGAGCTGGACCATGAAAGTCCCCAAGGAGAGCGTTCCTTCTCTTCCTGCTCGGGGAGTGGTGGTGCCCACCTTGCCCTGTGGCGTGCTCTCTCTTCCACTGGCTGCCCCACTTGATGCCCAGCTCCTGGCCGTACTCGTCCCCATACCAGACCAGCAGCTCACAGCCTGGCCTAACCACTCGGCAGGTCCGGTAGAAGATCTGTCTGTGATACTGAAAGGCCACCAGGTTCTGCTCCTCGTCATCCCGGGCACAGTTCACATACCTGGTTTGAGGCAGGAAAGAGTGTAAGTTCCCCCACCCGTCAGATCCATGCCCGGCTCCTTGCCTTCCTTCTCTGATGCAGCCACTCCCACCATTCCTTCCCGGAACCTGCTGTTCACACCTAAGTCTCCTTCCCTGTCCTGTGAACTCCCATCTCCACACCCTGCTGACACCCCATCATGGCTGGAGTGCTTTTCTCTCCTAACGTAATCGTCTGCTTTTCGAAGCTCAATTCCAGGCTTATCTCCACCTTGAGTGTCCTTTAGCTTCTCTAAACTCTGACTTAAGTTCTGCTTTCACACCAGAGAACCTGGTGCTTGCTCATGAACTCTGCTTCTAGATGAGCACATACCCCTCATTGTTCGGCCCAAGCCAGTCGTCTTTTGAGAGGCCTTTTTCTCCAGTCTCCTCACACTTTATGTAAGGTACCATTCCCTTGTCTTCCCCAGGGTCCTGTAGAAACTGGGAGATCTCTTCGACTCAGCACAGTTACACAGAACAATAATAGTTTATTCACAGTCTGCATCCCCTGACAGAATGAGAGGACTTCAGAAAGAGGGGCCGGGTCAGGTCCACACTGCAGACCATTCCTTCGCAGGCTGCAGAACTCAGTTCTAATTAGAGTGAGTCTGGGAAGACTTGCTGCCCTCACAGATTAAAAGTCCCTCGTCTCAGGTTGTCCTGACACTGTGTAGTTCCCGAAAAACAGGAAAATTATAGGTAAATACTCCTAAAATCAGTTGTTTAATGTCTGTCTGCAGTATCTGTTTAAGTAATGAACTCCGTTGTCTAAACTGAAACGTAGTAAGTGCTTAATACATGTCAGGTAAATTAAAGTGTCCTTGGTAAATATAGACTCTTCAGGTTTTTTTTTAAGTACTCAAATTTTTTCTAGCATAGAGACTTATATTTTGAGGACATATACTATATTTTTATCTTCTTTTTTTTTCTAATGTTTCTTTAAATGAAAGAGTATTGTATGGAGAAAAAAGAGAGACAGACGACGTAAAAACCGTTGAGGGAGGTGTGATGAGAAGGAAAGGGATGTGGGCTTGAGAGACATGAATGTCCTCCCTGGAACCTGGAAACACACTGGACTTACCTCATCCAGTTGGCCCAAGATTTATCCTTTCCATCCACATACTCATAGCAGTTTCTCCCTTTGGTGATCTGAGTTTCAGAAAAAGACATTAAAGGCTTTATTTTATTTAATTTATTTTTTGCTGGGGAGTATTATTTCACTCTGCTGTCATCAGTGCTCTTCAGCCTGCATGGATTCAACTACCAGCCATGGCCACACGATAAGCTCCTTAATCAACACCTAATGTCCGAGTCTGTCTGTCCACTCGGGCAGGGCCCCAAGGGGAGGAGCCACTTCTTTGTGTTTGTACCCCTGTGTTCCCACCTGCCCTCTGATCTTTAAATGGAAGTTCCATGTTCATGCAAAATCCAGTGTACAAGCTGACCAGGCCATCCCCATCCACATCCTAGCATGCAGGAGGTGAGGTCCCACCAAGGCACAGAAGGGATGTGGAAACCAGAGTGCAGGGGAAGAAGTGCATGTTTCTCACCAGCCAGGAGTATCCACTGTTGGCTGCCTCTTCATCTTCTGTAATCTGACCCTCATAGGGGCCAAAGTGCAGACCCAACGGCAGATCAGATGCTTCGTTCCATACTCCAAGCCCAGCCTCCGGGATGCCCGATGGTCTGATTCTTAATCCAGGGGGCAGAGTGAGGGCTGAGCGGTTAGGATGCCCCCTTTCCACTGCACTGTCCTTAACAAATGTAGGGGGCCCGTGAGCAGCACAGCTGTCAATGAAGAAGTTCTGGCACTTCTCACAATCTGGAGGCGAGAGCAACAGGGATTAGGGAAGGTATAGTGTATGTTGCTGGTGAAGTGTTTCACAAAGACCCAGGGCACTCACATCATTTAGCCTCAATCCTGTACTCCAGCTCACTAGAGGAAGGGAATGACTTGGGGACCAAATGATGAAATGAGATTATTGTACAAGACATAGCAGCCTTCTTTGTGAGCAGGTCAGCAGGGTCACTCACAGAGGTAGTCATCGTCCTGGGGCTCGCTGACCTCCTGGTATGCGTGGCCCTTTCTTTCTCGCAGGCTGTACATCTTCACTTGACTCTCCTTCCTTCTGAGCTCTAAATTGGAGAAGCATAGGTTAGTGAGGTTGGTGGGGTCTGGAGTGTTAGCCCCTGTTTTACCAGAAAATGTGAAATCTCCTCCCGTTAAATTATCACCTGTCCTTCTACATGCTTTGATTTTTCCTCCTTTAACTGTTGGTTCAGAAAGACTCAGACTCCACACTGACTCCAGGTGCTTAATTCAATTCTAGCTTCCAGCCATTCCCATTATTAGGTTTAACTTCCAAACCCTTCTACTTAGAAAATGGTTCATTCACATATTTATTCATTCAGAAAATATTTATTGAGGGCACATTCCATGTTAGGCATTGAGTGAAGGCCCTGGCATACAACACTAGAAAGTGTGGTCCCTATGATTATGTATGGATTTATTGAACAACTGGTATGTCTCAATACTATTGTATTTAATTTAATGCTTTCAAAAAATATATGAGTTATGTATCCTTATGTTCACTTCACCAATTAGCAATCAGGAGCTCAGAACATTTATAAGATTTTCCCAAAGCCCCAGTGCTAAATCAGGTTAGTCCAATTTAAACTCAGGCCTAGCCAGAGTCCACCCCACATACCTAGGCCACATTTATTAACCTTTCTAGAGGACTTAGAGGGACTGAAGTCCCTAAGTTACCTTCTCTTACCCAGTTTTTGTCTGGAGTGCCGCCCAGAGGTGCTTGCTTCTCCGAGAGGGGGAAATGGTTTCTGGGCTTGCCCGGAGCCACTTGTCTTCAGCGGTTTTGCTGTTCCCGACAACTCCTTCAAACTAGATTGATTACTTAATGGCCCCCTTGGCATTCCCTTCAATGTGAGCGTCACACAGTAAAAGACAAATGCATTTCTTTAGTTCTTTAGGGCTTAAGATGTATTTTCTTTCTTTTTTGGGGGGGCGGTGGGGGAGGTAATTAGGTTTATTTACTTTTTAAAATGGAGGTACTGGGGTTTGAGCCCAGGACCTTGTGAATGCTAAGCATGTGCTCCATCACTGAGCTGTGCCAACCCCCGACATTATTTTCCCTTGCATGACTTTAGTTAATACTTCAACAACCCTTGGAAATACCTGGGGGGTCTGAACACCAGAGAGTAAATAAAGGACTTTCCCTTCAAATTTCTCTATAAAAGTAAGAGCAAGGGAGGGAGAAGACTTGGGAAGACCAGCTGGAGAGTCAGCAAGGTCTGTGAAAGAAGCAGGTAAGAGCTTATAGAGGAAAAGAGGGGATCTTCTGTTAATTAGTGAATATTTGATAGAAGAGGAAACATAGCAAAGCATAGAGGGCACAAAACACCTCTGGAAAATAGGTAACAGAGCAGTGAGATTGGGACAAGAACAAAGACATGGTTGGAAGGAACATATCTAGACAATAAAGAAAATGATGCTAAAAGTAGCGCATTGCCTTATCCTAGAGAGAATATTTGGAAATAGACTAGCTGGTCCCCAACAATTCTGCTGGAATAAGGCTGTACTACTAAGTTAGTTCTCTTCAGTTTCCTGATCTGTAAATTGCTATATATGATTCTTAATGTTTTAGTGAACATGAAACTTAATAATTCACCAAATTTCTTTGTAAGCTATTTAGTACAGTGTGAGTGTGAAATTATAGTCCTGCTATCAGCTTATCCCCTCAGCTGTCTCCATATTTGAAATCTAGCTCACAGATACTATTTTCTTCAGCATTTCTTGGTCCTCTTACAACTAGCTGAACGTTTAAATATGGAATCACTCATTCAGAAAACATTCAGGGGGCCCTTGGGGCCTTAAGCTGGGCCTGGGACTTCTGAGAAGAAACAGATATGGACCAGGCTCTCGAAGACTGGAATGCACAGGCAGGCTAAACAAAGGATTCCAAACATGAGAGTCCTAGCTAGAGCTCAGGGGAAGGAGCTGTTAACTTCCTCCTCCAAGAATGAGCACTTGAAGTCAATTCCAGACGGATGAGTTTTTGCTGGAAAGCGTGCGACCTGTGTGCAGTCCTTAAGTTGTTTTCTTAGCTATTGTTTCTCAGTTATCAAATCTGAAGCTCCTCAGGGCTGAGAGGTGCTTCCCCTTATTAGAGTAGGAGGCCCAGGGTGGGGATCCTGTCTCCTTCTTCATCTCGGACCATTCACTGTTCAAACTGCCCACATATCTAAAAGCCTCCCTCAGTCAGGTAGTCTTAGCTTGGCAGAAAAGTACTGAGGTGTTGGTGTCATCAGTCAGGTGAATGAGGGACAGATGTATAAACAAGACAATGTTGACTTTATAAAACTATGGAAGTATTAATACGCTTGTAAGTGGCTTGGAGAAGGAGCTCTGGATTAGATTGCACTACCAACGAGTCTGTGATCTCAGGCATAAATCAATTTTTAAAAAATTTCAGTTTCTTGATCTATAAAAGGTGATAGTTACAGTACCTTCCTATGGGTACTGTAGGGTTGTTGTAAGGGTTAAGTGAGTTTATTCATATGAAGAACTTAAAGTCTGAAATGTTGTTAAAATAAATAATGTGAAAAAACCCTACTATTGTTGCTATTCTTATTAACTATTGAAATGATGATGTTATCAGACATTGTGTTAAAGGGAGAAGGAAAGGAAGGCAGCAATTCCTAGAATATTCTGTGCATCCTCCTCTTCTTACCTGTGATTGGCTGTGTGAGGAAGATTTTCCTGTCAACAGGATTCAGGATATACTCACCTTCTTGTGTCTACTGTGCTCCGCTCTGAAGGCCACCCAAGAAGTTTTAACTAAAAGGTGATGAGAAATCAGTGTTTTGGTTGGTAAATGGTTCCAAACTCTGGGCATTCTCTTTAGAGACACAGAATTCTAAACTAGAGAGTGACAAGTACAAGGATTATTGGTGATTGGAAAATGATTTCTGTCTCATCAAGGCCTGTGCTTCCAGTGGGAGCACCAAATAATTTTCTTAAAATTAGAGGGAAAAATAGACAAAACCTTGTTCCTGCTTCATCCTATGTTTATAAAGTATCTATTACATTTATTTTTTAAAAAATAAGATTTCTAGCCTTTCATGACAAAAATACTCAACAAACTAGAAATAGAGGGAAGTTACCTCACTATAATAAAGGTCATTTATGAAAATTCCACTTCTAACATCATATTCAACAGTGAAAAACTGAAAGCTTTTTTTCTCCTAAGATCAAGAAAAAAAGGCAAGGATTCCCACTGTCACCACTTCTAGTCAACAGAGTACTAGAAGCCCTAGCCAGAGCATTAGATAAGAAAAGGAAACAAAAGGCATCCAGTCTGGAAAGGAAGGAAGTAAAATTATGTCTGTTCACAGATGACATGATTTATGTGCAGAAAATCTTAAAAGATCCTGTTAGAACTAATAAAGGAATTTAGCAAAGTTGCAGGATTGAAAATCAACACTCAGAAATCAGTTACATTTCTATGTACTAACAATGAACATTCCAAAAAGGAAATTAAGAAAACCATCCTATTTATAATAGCATCAAAAAGAATGAAATAATTAGGAGTAACTTAAGGAGATGAAGACACTGAAAACTACAAAATATTGCTGAAAGAAATTAAAGAAGATCCAAGTAAATAGAAAGACATCCCGTGTTTATAGATTGAGAGACTTAACATTGTTTAAGATATCCATAGTACCAAAAGCAATCCAAAGATTCAATGCAATCCCTGTTAGAATCCCAATGGAATCTTTTGCAGATTTAGAAAAAGCCATCCTACAGTTAATATGGAATCTCAGAGGACCCCAAATAGCCAAAACAATCTTGAGACAGAAGAGCAAAGATGAAGGACTCACACTTTCTGGTATCAAAACATATTATAAGGCTGCAGTAACCAAGAGTATAGTATCAGCATAAAGACAGACATATAAACCAGTGGCAGAGAATAGAGAGCCAGAAATAAACAGGAGTAAACTGTTGGGTATATGGTCCAATGACCTTCATCAAGGGTTCCAAGACTACACAATGGGGAAAGGATAATCCCTTAGGCAAATGGGGAAACAGAATATCCACATGCAAAAGAATGAAGATCTTATCTTACATTATATACAAAAATCATCTCAAAATGGACTAAAGACCTAAATGTCAGACCTGAAATGATAAAGCTTTTAGACAAAACGAGGGGGGAAGCTTCATGACATTGGAATGGGCAATGATTTCTTAGATATGACACCAAAAGTGCAAGTAACAAAAGCAAAAATAGACAAATGGGACAACATTAAATTTAAAACTTCTCTGCATCAAAGGACACAATGAACAGAGCAAAAAGGCACCCTACAGAATTGTGGGAAATATTTGTAAACACATATCTGATAAAGGGTTAATATCCAGAATATATAAAGAACCCCTGCAACTCAATAGTAAACACCAAGTAACCCGACTGAAAATTGAGTGCTATAGACTGAGTTATGTCCCTCCAAAATTCCTGTGTTGAAACTCTAACCCTCAATGTGAGGTATTTGGAGATGAGGCCTTTGGAGGGTGGTTAGGGTTAGATAAGGTCACTAGAGTAGGGCTTTCATGATGGGATTAGTGCTCTTAAAAGAAGTGGCTCTCTGTCTCCAAGAGTGTGCCTATGCAAAGAATAGGTCATGTAAAACATACAGCAATATGGAGGCTGCCTATAAGCCAGGAAGAGATATTGATCATGATGACACCCAGATATCAAACTTCCATCCTCCAGAATTGTGAGAAAACAAATTTCTGTGGTTTAAGCTGCTCAGTCTATGGTATTTTGTTATGGCAGCCTGACCTGACTAATACAATGGGAAAAGGGCTTGAATAGACATTCCTCCACAGAAGATATACAAATGGCCAACAAAAATATGAAAAGATGTTCAATATTAGTAGTCAACAGGGAACTACAAATTAAAACCACAGTGAGAAATTATCTCATACCTGTTAGGATGGCCACTATGAAGAAAAGAAAGACAATAATAAGTGTTGGTAAAGACGTGGAGAAACTGGAACCCTTACACACCTTACACACTGTTTTGGGGAGTGTAAAATATTGCAGCCTTTATGAAACACAGTATGGAGTTTCCTCAAAAAAATTAGAACTAGAACTGTTATGTGATTAAACATATATATGGGTATATATCCATTAAAAGTTGAAAACAGGATCTTAAATAAATATGTGAACATCCATGGTTATTGCAGCATTATTCACAATAGCCAAGATGTGGAAGAAACCTAAATGTTTATTGGTAGATAAACAGATAAAGAAAATGTGGTATATTTTAAAGAAAAGAAAAGAAAAGAAAAAAGAAAAGAAAATGTGGTATATACATACAATAGAATATTATTCAGCCTTAAAAAATAATGAAATTCTGTCATATGCTACATCATGGATTGACCTTGAGGACATTATGCTAAGTGAAAGGGATCAATCACAAAAAGACAAATACTGTGTGATTCCATTTATATCTACATTAATAAAGTTCATGGAAACAGAAAATAGGCTAGTGGTTGCCAATGGCTATGGGGAGGAAGAAAAAGAGAGTTGTTGCTCAGTGGGTATAGAGTTTCAGTCATGCAAGATGAAATATTCTAGAGATTTGTTGTACAAAAATGTGCATATAGTTAGTAATGTGCTGTATAGTCAGAAATTGTTAAGAGGGTAAATAAAGATGTGTAGACGTATAGTAAACTGTGGGGTAAATATTCCCTATGAAGACTTTCTTGTCATGGCAAAACTTTTGCAGATAACCCCATGTTGAGTTTTCATATCTCTTAAACACTAATTTTAAGACCCTAAGGGAACAGAAATCTGTAGGTGGGCAATCATAAACCTAATCTGAACTGCTTTATCCAGTCTAGACAGATTAACCTGCCTAAATTCTCCTGTCTGAGCAGCAGAAGAGGAAGTGAGCTTCTCACTTCTATTTTATAGTAATTGCACTTCATTCTATTTACCTGATGCTGTCTCTGGTCAGTGAAATGTGGGAAAGATCAGGGAGACTAAATAGTTCTCTCACCATCTCCCAGAGTCAAGAAAAGAATCAGATTCAGCTTGGGGTAAGAAGATCATGTGGTGTGATTAAGTATATATAAATAATGTATCTTTATATAATATGTTAATCATTTCCTCTTCTAAGAGATTTAATTCAATAACTGAACCATTATGAGATTAGTATTAGAAAACTCTTTGGTAGATTTATAGTCTAATTAAGGTTTCTTTAGTTTCCCTTTTACTAATCAACAATGTTTAGCAAAAATAAATTTAGAAAATGATAAATTTTAAACATATAGAAAACTATGGAGAATTATACTGGAAAATCTATACATTCACCACCGTTCAGTCTTATGTCAACATTCTGCCACAACTGCTTTAGATCTTTTAATTTCTATTTCAAAATTCAAAAACAAAAATAAAAACAAACAAAAAACTAACCAAGACACAGTGTAGCCACCTGCCAGCAATTACTTCTCTGGTGATAATTTTGGTACTTCTTATTCACATTCAGATTTTTATACATTTACTACTTTTTAATGTATCTATAAATAATATATATATAGATTTTTTTCCAACAAAAGTTCTCACATAGTCATTACTGAGCAAAGCACTAGTGCTGAAACACTGACACAAAAAGAAAAATCATTTTTTCCAACAAAATACATCCAGCTGTCCAGATAGTAGTGATGTTTTCAGAGTGATATGTAAGATGCAAGTGACCATGACACAGCATAAATGTATGTGTCTCCTCATGTGTGGCTCCTTAAAACCCAGCTTGGTTCTTTTCCAATGTCCTCTCTTGGAGTTCTGCCTGATTTTATTACCAGTGTTCATTCGAATCAATTGGGGGATGGGAAAATTATGCTTTTGTTTCTTGGCTAGGAATCACTAGATCCTAAAAGTCTTGTGAGATGACATGGTGAGGAGCAGAGTAAACCGCACATAGGCCAGGTGGAGAAGAGGAGACTTACTATTTTACATATCTTAAAACTTTATATGGATAGCATCTTACTGTATAATATTCTGTTTTGCTTTTTGCTTGTTTGCTGAATGATTATGTTCTCTTTACTAATATCTGAAATGCAACTGAGACCTAAACCCAGGCTGGTTTCAGGAAGACATCTCTAAACCCTTCTGGCCCCTCACCTTGCTGCCTTGGTGTCCATTCTTCATCAGAATCCTCAGTGTCATCCACCTGGGGTTTGATGGCCTTCCTGCGGTGACACATGAAAGCTGGCCGAGGGGCTCTGAGACCTAGGAAGAAGCTAAATTTTTGTCCTAAAATGGAAGAGCTGGAAGAAGGAACAAAGCACAGAGGCAATGGAAAATGCCACAAAGTCAGCGCAACTTAGTAGGATGGGCTGGGAGAGTCTAGAACAAGTCAAGAGGTGAGTTCCACACAGCCAGTGCCAGCCCTACCCTGCTACAAAAGAACAAAAATGTCCTTCACATTAGTCTCCACACAGAAGGGAACTGTTGGGTGAGGAACCTGCCTAAGAGAGAGCCAAGCTAATATTGAGACTGAAGACCTGTTTCATGTTTCCCAGGCTCATCTGCACCCAGCATTTCCTGTTACCTATAGTAATCAGGGCTTCATAGTTCCTTTTCACATTCCTGTATCGGATTTTTTCCCATTCTCCCATCTCAGTCCATTCTTCCTTGGAGAAGTATATGGAAATGTCTTTGAAAGTATCTTTGCCCTAGAGAAAATAATAGATTTCATCAATGACTTACTAATACAAGTCACAACTTAGAGTCGTAACAGCCTTCTCCTCCGCCTTGTGTGCAGGCTGTAGCCTGAGGCCTCTGGGTGGGGGGGAAGGTCTCTGTGAGACAAGGATGGAGTCTTTCCCTCCTGATTGTGTCCTGCTTAACTGAGCGAACACTGAGCCTGTTCCTAACCCTCCCCAGACACAGAGCAGTCGACGATGATATGTCTTGTTTCCCCCTCCCCCAGATATCTCAGACAGGACCAGACACCCTGTGTATGTTCACAGAGAAGGTCACCCGCTAGTGCAGGCCAGGAGTCTGCGGTCCTCCAGGGACCAGCTCCTTGTCACCAGGCCCCGCTCCCTATCCTTCCCGTAGACCCGGCTTGGAGCCCAGCTTGGCCTCCTCCACCTCTCACCGTGGGCTTCCACTCTCTTTCCCCAGCATCTCCCTCGGTGCTCTCCTCCGAGGACCTGTCTGGGCTCATGGCGCTGGGACCACCTCAAGGCCAAGGTGCCTGTGGAAGGAGAAGGTGCTGAGAGGGGGCGACAGCCCAGAGCCACGTATGTCTTCTTTCAGGTGGGGTGTCCAAAACAGGAAGGTGTGGGGACCCAGCGAGGCTGAGAGGATGTGGGGACGTCGTGGTGGGATAACTGACGGGATGGAAGGACCTTCGCGGGCCGTGACGGCCAGCCTACTGTGAAGTAGATTTTGTTTCTTCAGTTCCCCTGAACTCGGCCCACCTGAGGAAAGGCAGCGGGAAGGACGCGTCTGTGGGTGTTCCAGGGAGTCCTGAGGTGCGAGTCAGAGGAGTCCTGAGGAGACCTGGAAGCCCCTGACTGCTGGGACCGCGGTCAGGCTGACGATCAGGGCTCTGTTCCAGCGAGGGAAGAGGAATATTTCTCAGAGGGATCTCCCCCTGGGGACTCTGGAAAAACCTGGGCGTAGCACAGGCTCTGTCTCAGCCTGAGGAGATTGGGGTCAGTCAGGCTGAGGGAACGGGGTTCCTCAGATGGAGGGGATTCGAGATCCCTCAGGACAAGCCTCGGCGTCTTCGCGGCCGAACAGATTTGGAATGCTCGGGCTGAGAGGATCTAGGAACTTTGCGGCTGAGGAGATCTGGCGTCTCCCGTGAAGGGGCGCTAGGTTCTCCGACACTGAAGTTGGTTGGGGTCTTTGACGATGAAGATGAAGGGGTTAAGGTTCCCAGGCTGAGGGTGTTTAGGTCTCTGAGGTGAGGGGAATTTGGTCTCTCCGTGGGTGCCTCGGGCTGAGGGGAACAGGGTTGCTCAAGGTATTCGGGGCTCTAAGCATTAGGGGATTTGGTGTTTCTCCGGGTGAAGGGACTTGGAGTCTCTGAAGCTGAGGAGACGTGAGGTCTCTCTAGGTCTGGGTCCGAGTCCCCCAAGGCTGACGGGATTCGGAGCCTTTCGGGGTGACGGGATCTGGGGCCTCCCGGCCTGGGATTTGAAGGTCTCGGGCTGAGGGTTTATAAGGGTTTCGCACGGCGTGTTCCGGTCAGCCTCCCCGGCTCCCCTCTCGCGCTGAACGCGCTGCCCACCCTGGCCCCGCGCGCCCTCAGAACCGGAGCGCCCCCGTCCTCCCGAGCTGAGGAGAAGCCAAGGGCGAGGAGAAGGCTTGTAAAGCCCTGTCAGGCACCAGCCACCAATCGGCGCTGAGGCCGAATTGGCCCCGCCAATGGGCGGCCGCAAGGGTGCGGAACGCAGAGAAGGTCCCGCCCCACCCCTCGGGGATTGGCTGCTCTGGGTCCTGCGCGTGTCCGTCAAGAAGCCTCCAGCGCGCAGGCGCAATTTGGCGGCTTTCATTGATTTTTCTCCACCCGAGACTCCGCGACCTAGTTTAATGATGACCTGGAGCGTGTTTAGAGTGCACGTGGCAGTCCTGCGCCCTACAAAGATTCTTTGCTTGCTAGACTGTAGCAGTGCTCCGGCCCTTTCTCTTAGACACGTATGTGCTCCTCCTTTCAAAGTCCAGTTTTAGCAAGAATCTCATGTGATGAATATTGCATTATTCAGGGGAAAACTATGTAATTCACCAAATTCTCGTGAAACTGTGTATTCACAAAATAAACAGCATATGATTCAAAGATTTAAACACAAGTGGAATAGTTATATTAGAGGGGAAGGTATAGCTCAGTGGTAAAGCGGTGCTTAGCATGCACGAGGTCCAGGGTTCAATCCCCACTACCTCCGTCAAAATAAATAAACCTAATTACCTCCCCCTCTCCAACAAACAAAAAACACAAAAAAGCAAAAAGCCTAGTGGGGGTGGTTCTAGCATATTTTAATACAGAATAATTTCTAATCAGTGTTTTATTAGAGGAAAGTAACATGCAGAAAAAAATCATGTTATTAAAAAAAAAAAAACACCCAACCAAAGACATACATGTATGGTTACACATGCTGAAAGGCATCAGGTACTGGTATCACGACCTCAGTGTCTCGGGAAGATCAGGGGGGACTGGCTTTTTGCGTCGTTTGGAATATGATATTTGTTTTCATTCTTTTTTCCCTTTACTTAAAAATTATACTTACAAATGTTTTCTGTAAATAATTTGAAATACTCACTAAAAATGAATGAAAGTTATTAGGTTTTACATATATATCTTAAAATAACAGAACAAACATTCTGTACAAACTTACTATTTACTGTGGCTCATTTCCATATCTAAACAAAACCTTGACCACCCACAATGTGGGGATCAAAGTGTTCAATTTTCAATCAAAGCTCTATTCCAGAATTTAAACTGTCTTAGTCCAAAATACCAAACTGTGTTGCACAGGTACTGTTTCTGTGTACAGACACCTGCTCCCCAGCAGTGTTATCAGATTATATATTTCTCAGAAATGGGAAAGCTTAAAGAGAGGCATCCTGTTTAACGGAAAAGTATTTAAGAGAAGATTGAAGCTTCAGCCACCATTTTCAAGGTTATTAGATGTACATCCTTGGAAAAATCACTTAATTTCTCCAAACTTGACCTGATAAACAACAATAACAAAAACCTCCAGTAAACTTGCTTGAACAAAGTGATGGAAACCTCAACTTGAAGTGTTAGAAACATCTTATTTTACTTGAGCCTTATACATTGCTCTACATTAATTATAGTTTGGTTAACATATTTGTTCATTGAAATAACAATGTTCTCAAATACTGTTACCGACCCCTGAGTCAGTTCCCACCAGCCAATAGTACGAGACTGAGTTCAGTTCAGAAGCCAAGGAAAACTTTATTCTTCCATCAAAGAATGGAGAGGTGCGAGCAGGCACTAGAGCAGAGGCCGTGGGCAGGCTGCTTTACAGGGATCTGGTCAGTGGGGCAGGGACAGTTCTCGCGGGGCTAGAGTAGCTGGTGAGGCTCAGGTCCTGGACTGCCGAGTGCATGCAGCATCTCTGCTCACGCCTCGTGAGCTCAGGTGTCTGTCCTGCACTAGGAACTTTGGTCTGAAGGGCCAGGTGCGAGGTCTCTGCTTGCGGAATTGTAGGAGAAAATGAAACTAGACTCAGCACAAAGGAAAAAAGGTTAGACTTTATTTTCTGACACAGATTCCATTTTTATTTCCCAGGAATTGTTAACGGGCTTTGTGGGGGACAAATCCCTCTTCTGCTGCTCATCCTTGAAGGGCACTGAGGGCATGGGTCTGACCTCTGTAACTGCCCCTGCTGACTTGGGCGGCCTCATAACCCCGGGTAGAGGAGCAGCACTTCTCCCCAGCTGCCTCTGGATGGGTTTGATTGCACCAGGCCTCAGCCCCAACTACTCCTTTTCCCAAGCAAACACCATTTGTAGTTTTATAGATTCTAATGGTCTTAAGGGTCCAGGGAAGGTTAAAAACAGAGTGACGTAAGGATGGGCCTGTTTTACCAGGCTCCAAATGTGTTCCGCCAAGTTTGGCTGCTAGGTTTCTGCCAGCCAAGATGCTTTTTGAACAGTAGCCTGTGGTTTCACTTACATTAATGAAAAAACAGCATGATGTATCAGACTTCACCGCGGTCAGCTCACAGGTAATCCAGGGTGGTGCAGTCATTCAGGACCATGCCGGCCAGTGAGTCGATGGACTTTTGAAGTAGCTTGGAGCTGAGGCCCAGCTCACTGGCTGCCATTCCTGCTGTGACTGTTAGATTTTTTTTATGGTGACAGCGTTATACATGGTTCCCCCGTGAAGCGCACTAGCACTGCATGAGTGTAATGATTCCTGCAGTTAGTATTTTGCCCTTTTGGGACACACTTCTGTTATTTTTCGGAAGAGAAGCTCCAGGTCATTAGAGAGGGTCACGTGTACAGTCACAGGGGCCATCTCTCTGGAGGCTGGGGCTGCCTCACTCAAGTGTGAGGTACCAACCGGATGATCCTGCAACTGCAGGGCAAGGTGGGTGGTTAGGCTTACCAAGTGGGGTCCCTTGTGGGCTGCTGGCTTTCCTGGTGTTCAGCTGCACCCCGTCTCCTGGCTTAGCACGGTCGCTCCCACCTAGAGGACATATCTTCGTTGCCCATTTCTAGTGGTCCCAGTTTTTGAGCTAGTACCCTAATGGTGCTTTCCTTCTCCCAGGAATGTAAGGGTCAAAGGATTTAGCTAAATTTGTAAGGTCCAGGGCAGGGGCCTGAAGTAATGGCTTTCTCAGTTCTTGGAAGGCCCTTTCTGAATTCTAGGGTTACCCCCCTTTCCTTTTTTTCTTTTTAACATTTTTTATTGATTTATAATCATTTTACAATGTTGTGTCAACTTCCAGTGTTCAGCACAATTTTTCAGTCATTCACGGACATATACACACTCATTGTCACA